GTCTGTTCCCCTTCCCCTGATTGCCCAGCGCTGTTCCTCTCCCCCAATTCCCTAATAAAATCTTTTTAACCCCCCCCCCAAATCACATCTGGCCACAAGGGTTTCAGATAAGGGAGAAAAGACTAGACTTATACTAGGATGAGGTAAGGTCCGCTGCAAAGTTTACCAAAGGCCTAAAACAGTCAAATGACCTCCTGGTTGTTTCAATCTGACCAGCTTCCTACACAAGCCAGACAGCAGCGTTATTTGGCAACATTCTGTTAAAAATGGGAAATCCATTACATAGGGGGCCCTGATTACATGTTAAATCCTGGTTTCCTACCTTCACATATTCCAGAGTTGGGTCCAGAAAATGGTGATCCCTGAAAAGAGAAAATGGAATTATGAGAACATTCTTACATTGAGTAAATTGTATCCAACATTATCTCACCCTATTCATTCAAATTATTAAGATGGGCCCACCTCCCAGACAATACTCACAGCAGACAAAGAAGGAAGTTAGAACAGACACAGATGCTTTTCATGGTGTGCATTGGGGGGCGGGGGCGGGGATACCACCATGATCTTACTCTTTTCCTGTCACATTCAGGCTCCAAACGTTAGACTATTAATATGTGGTAATTCTAGATTCACTCGAACATAAAAATTAGCCTAAAAGTCTGAAGCAAAGAGCTGTGAGGAAAGAGGTGGGAGTAAAGCAGGACTAAATGCCCAAACTTGCAGCGCTTTGGACTAGGCAGCTGTGTCACATCCACTTTGATAGAAGTAAATGGAGGCTCAGGTGTGTGGAGCAGCTGCCCAAAGTCACCCAGTACCCAGAGGAGCGAGAGAAAGGAGTCTTGCGCCCAGCTCCACTTCTTTCTCTTTTTTATCGCTGACTCGATTACCCACCCACTCCTGGTGCCAAGCTGAGCAATTCATCCAAATTTTCTTTGGTGCCCGATACTGTGTCTCTCCCTATCTAGTGTCTGCTCCTGTCTATCATAATAATACCCTAGGATTAACCAGACAATTAAAAGTAAACAGTAGCAGTGGCATGGAGGATGCTGACTTGTTATAGAAAGTAGAAGAGGAGCTGACTAAGGCAAAGGAGGGGTGGGGGAGACATGTTGCTTGTAGAGTTATAGCTAAGTGGCTCCCTCAAAAGAGGATGTGAAAAGACTGCTGCCTTCAAAGACTTAAACTGCAAAAAAAATCAACTTATCCTTGCCCACACATGACCAGTTTTGAAAAGACAGAACGAGTCTGAAGCCTGTGAGATGAGTCTTCTCAAGGGGGAGTCTTAGCATATCTACAAAAAGAAAGTGTCCCTTGGAAGGTAGGGAACCTCCACCCAACAAGCTGCCATCTGCTGAAGGGTGAGCTCAACCCCCAAACCCGGGGGTTTGGATGCCTCTGGGGCTATGCAGACACTCAGCACCACTTCCCTGAACAGGAACAGCAAAGCCACAGCTCAGGGGCATAACCACCTTTTGGTGGAAGTGGATCCAATCCCCCAAGCCATTCTTGGCTTGGTCTGACTGCCCAGTTAGGGCTGCATACAGGGCACGTGCGCAGAGGCAGGCTGTCGCCCGAGATGCTCCTCTCTGTGCAAACAGATTAGGTTCTGAAATGAGTCCCTTTGTAGAACTAAAGGATCTGAGAAGAGCTTAGCTCAGTCCCTGCGTGCATTCCTATGTATAAACCAGCCTTTCAAAGCCTTAAAACCAGGCACATTCCGCCTTCCAGCTGGTGTTCCTTCATCAGGCATCTTTTCCCAAAGCAGCTGAGTCTGCCGTGCGGGCCACCACCTTTCCTGCCACACACTCTGGACATCATGTGGACGTCATCTGTGACACCACACAGCTAGTGACTAAAAACTCAGCAGCACTTTGGCCCTTGTGTTCCCTTTTAAGTTCTTGAATCCTTTGAACTCCTGGTTTTCCACTGAATTAACATTTTAGGCTTATAGGCATTCAGTCTTATGATAATGACCTGGCCCAGTGGTCTGGTCCTGTGAGTGCAGAAAGATGTCAGCCTGAAATGCTGTTTCTCATCTTCTAATTCCTACATCCATTTAAAAATGCACATGTACAAATGTACATTATACACATTCACACATACATGTTTTAATGCATGGACAAACAGTATAGGTGTGTGCTGTTTAAATCAATGGTTCTCAGGTGTTTTTGGTCTCAGGATCTCTTTAAATTCTAAATTATTGAGGACCCCAAAGCGCTTTTGTTCAGGGGAATTATATCTACTGATTATTGCTAATAGAAATTTAAAAATAATTTTTCAATTTTTTATTAATTCATATTTCAAAAATAAACCCATTATTTTAATATTAAATGCTTACATAAATAATGTTTTTAGAAAAAAATAGATATGCTTTTCACAACAGAAATTCTGTGATGAGAAGAGTGAGATTGTCTTACATTTTTGTAAATTGTTTTTAATGTCTGGCTTAGTAGAAGACAGCTGAATTCTCATATCTACTTCTACATTCAATATGTTCATATGTTTTGGTTGAAATAAATGAAGAAAATCCATCCTCACACAGATATGTAATTGGAAAAGGAAGAAGTGCTATAATAGACTTTTCATATAATTATGGATATTCTTGTTTGATATCATACCAAAACGTGACAAATGGTAGTTTCTTAAGGTTAGTTGTAATGTGGAATCTGAAACCATCTCTTACTCTTTTTGCATCTGTCTCGCACTTTGAATGGACTTTTTATCCATGTCTGATTCTGTAACTGCTATTCCAGCAAATACTGATTCACTGAGTTAGGCAGATCTTCTAAATTTTGACCCGTTTCGCTACAATATTTTAAAAAATCACATTTGTTAATATCATCATTGATGTCATCAGAAGTAATTAAGTATTGGGAAGTGTCGAGCTCATGGAGGACACAAGTTTTCCAAAATTCTAATTTTCACTTGAAAGCTTGAGTTTTTTCATTGGCATCTTACACTGTCAAATATTTGCCTTGAGCTTCATTTCACTCATTCTGGGGAACATATCTGCCAAAATACCAAGACCATATAGTCATGATTTGCAATTTTAGCTCTCTTTCCTTAGGTGCTCCAATGTCATTCTTTTAGTAAATTCTTTTTAGAATTTTGTCCAGGGTCTGTTCTTTTCACCAGATTTAGCTGTAAAATCCTTTTCCTTTCACATTTGAAAGCTCTAGAGATGTGCCCGAAAACTCTCTGAGCTAGCATTCTCAGGCAAAACCCCTCAAACTCTCTTGGCAAGGGGGTGGGATAACCAACAGGGACCAGACCAGGCGCTGTGCCTGGGTGGTCCCTGAGGCAGCGCTGGCTGATGTTAGCAAGGTCCCCACTCAGAGATGGGATCTCCTCAAGGCAGGGTGGCCTGTGCTCTCCCCACTGCCCTGCTCTCTAGCCCAGAGACCCCAGTGCACCCAGCAGCCTGGGTGTTCTCCCAAACGTTCCCCATCCCTTGAATGAACTCCCATGATCCTGTTTGATCCTCCACCCCCACACACTTCTCTTGGCAGAAAAGAAGGAAACCAGGAGGCGCTGATTAGGGATAAAACTGAAGTCCTTTCTTGACCCCACCCCAGATGAACCCTGCTAAGGGAACCTTGTTCATCCTCTTATGAGAGCATAGGAGAATCCAAGTGTTCTAAAGTTCTAGTTCAGGGCTCCAAAGGGACCCTAGGGGACCCTGGTATTGTTCTCCTCGTCCTTTTTAGAGACGCAAGGGAGGGCACATAAGGAGAGTAAATAAAACTGAGTGAGTGTGTTACAAATCCAAAAGCTTTCAAAATCATTGCCTTGAACCAAATTAAAATTATATATTTAAATGCAGAAATGCTGGGTCTCCTTTTTCAGCCAGCCACCTGATCTCAGCTAACCAGAAAGACGTGAACTAGAAAACATAGCAGCTGGCCCTGTAGCCCCAGCCTCTAATTTGAAATAGAATATCCAATTATTCATACAAGACTGTGCAGCAAATACTCCTTGAACTACAGATTTATATTCTCCAACAGAGATCACTAGAAAACAAACAAAGGAACTTGGCAATATAAATGAATTTAAACTTTTTTTTTTTAATGAACCCCACCCATGTCCCATGATAGCGTGTGCATCTCTTTCCAATTGGAGTCTGGCAACCCCTCTGTCAGGCCTGCTGCCCCTCAGTGCACAGTCCACAGACTGCAGGAAAGCAGCAGGGTGAAACCGGACTCCCCTGTTATTTTGTTCTTAAGTTTATTAAGTTTTAAATAACATCACTGTGTTTACTCCAGTTCAATCATTCTTTCCAGTACCCCACTTTCTTAAGTTCATACTAAGGGATATCTAGTGGGAAGTCATGCAAATGATATATTTACTATTTTAGTTTGTTTCTGATCAGTAATCAGGTTAATAATTTCCTTCCTCTTAAAAGAACTCTTGATTTATAAGTGTTTGCTGTTTTGAGCTAAGAGGTCCTCCATCTTCAATACACAAGCCAAATTTCACTAACACAGATCTTCTTTTCCAAGTGGTTGGAATACAGATGGGGAGGTACCCTAGGTCTGTCTTAAATTTTAGGATATTTCAAATGAATGAATCTTTACTTCTTTAAATATTATAGAATAAATTAATGGCTAACGGTGTAGCCAAACAACTATTGTTTTGGATATAACATAAAAGGGAATCACTGGTAATAAGATGATTATTTCATGCAATAAAGGAATATGAAAAACGAGATCCAACTATTCCAGACTGAGTAAGATAAAGACTCTCCCTAAAATCCACACACACTAGGAATTCACAGAGTTCGTACACCTCCTTTGCACATGTGGCATGGTGTCTGCATTTCGGTTCATTGTATTGTGTATTTATTTATGTATGCTCTCTTCCTCTACAAGGTGAACTCCCTGAGTATTGGTGTGTCTACTCGAGTACCGCTGTGTTTACTTCATGCCCAGTACTTTCCATACTTCTTACATTCATCCCCAAACATCATCAAGCATCTACAATATGCCATGTATTAAGCCAGACAATGGTAACATAGGAACCCAAGACAAGGGCACTGCTTGTGACCCAAAAAGGTCTCAGGCAAGTGGGGAAGACAGAGCAAAAAATCCAAACCACTCGAGTTGCTGAGAGAGTGTCAGGGGGAGGGAAACTCCATGGAGAGGTCTTTCTGCAACACCTGAGCTAAGTTTTGAGGGCTGAACAGTTGAATTGTCCCAGTGAAGAAGCTGTGGGGTAGCTGGTGATGATAGATACCCAGACAATGAGAGAAGCATGTGCAAACACACGAGGGCATGAGACAATACGATACATTTGAGGAACCACAAGTGTTCAGGAGTTAATGCCACTTTAGTCCTGGCCACCATCATCTCTCACCTGGACCCCT